GTGAGGACTTTTAAAGGGATAGTGTGGGCGCAGGACAAGCACCGGCTGGTGTTCTGGAAATTCTTCCTTACCCCCAATGGGGATTTCCAGTGTACCAAGGGGGCGAGTGGCCAAGCTCGATTTAGCGGGCCCCTTGGTGCGTGCTGGGGACTTGAGCAAGCTCAGAGAGCCTTCCAGCGCCGTGAGGGGCGGCTGAGGCTCCAGGGGGTTACCGGGACAGCTCGGACACTAGCTGGGGATCCGAGTGTCTGGGCCTCACGAGGACAACACCAAGCTACTGCTGCCCCAGACAGCAGCGCACACATGCTGGGTGCAGATCCGAGGGGCATCCCCTGGGGACGTGCCCGTCCCCTGAACAGCAGGCCTGTAAAGGCTGCTGGAGGCCACTGCCTCCCAGTAGGCGCGCTGCCAGGTGAAGCCTGTCCCCCAGGGGAACAGATCCAGTGCCAGGGTCTGCGGGGAAGATGGCAGCCGAAGCACCTGGAGGCTGGTAAGCAGGCAGCCTGGAGTACCCGGCTCCCGCACCTCCTCCAGGAGGCCCTCCACCCTTTCTACAACTTACCTCACACTGTCACCCAGCTGGCCCTGGCTGAGTCCAGGCCAAAGGGTGTGAGGCCCTCAGCACGGGCGCACTATGTGCCCCTAGAAATTCAGTGAGCACGATTCAGTTTTGCAGGCAATAGCCTTGAAATGGCAAGTGAGTGCAAAAAAGGCCATGATGACCCAACGGGAGAACTGCAGGGACGGTGTGTGCCCAGCCCTAATGGCCGCTACCCTTGGCCACCCTCGCCTTGCCCTGACCCCAGGCTCTTGCCAATGCACGGACTTGATCCCGTTGCCCTGGCCCCTGGGTGCCGGGACACGGTGGGGAGACAGTGGGGACGCGGGGATTTGCAGGGGAGCCCCAAGAGCAGTTGCTCAGGCTGCAGGGTCACTGCCCTGCAGGGGCTCCAGAGCCAGGAAGCCAGGCCCCTGCACTAGGGCTTGGGAACTCTCCGGAATTAGGTTGTATATAAAGCTTGCACACATGGCAAGGAAGAGCTTTAGAAAGTTTTGCAGAAAGCTGGGGGTGGGGTTCCATGTTGCTCATTAGCCCACCACCTGCGCTTCCTACTCTTGCCTTTTGGCTGGAATTTGCACTGACAAAAGCACTTCCCTGTCGTTTGGGGCACCCCTGAACCCCCCCCCCCAAACCTGCCTGCTCTAAATAGGTTCCGCCATCTGCTGCACCAAGACATATAACACCCGTAATGGAAGGAACTTTAATACAATCAGTGTGCAATACAGAAAAGACAAAGAATATAGTTTCTAAGTCAAACACCAAAGTGACCCATCCCTTCGTGGGTAAGAGTCCACCCAAAGGGATCGGCCCAAAGCAAGGCCTGAAAGCCCACCCCAAGCGTAAAGCACCTTCCAGCAGAGACCCATTGAAAAGGGGCAGAAATGGCCAGATGAGTCCGGAAGGAAAAGAGCAAGATCAACATCAAGATAAATGCTGCCATAGTGAACCTCCCCACGGGTCTCTCACCCACGTCTGCTTCAACCAGTCTAGGCCAAGAAACTGGAGCTGCTTCTTCACAAGTCTCTGTGCTCCGGGTGCCTCCTCAGGTCTCCTCCTGGCTCCATCCTCCCCCACCCCCCCAGTCCCCTCTCTAGATTCTGCTCCTCCCTGCTCAGCTCCACCCTCCTTCTGGGTGGGGCAGGGAACCTGGAGCCTCCTCTTTGGCTGGGGATCCCCCTTAAAGTTCCTTCCTGCTCAGGGAGTTCAACTTCATGGGTGCCTCGCCCAGGCCCCTCCCCAGATGCGGCTTTTCCTTATTCCTTACCCCAAGCCCCCAGTTGCCTCTCGCACTGTGGTTTTTTACCGAATGTAAGAATTATTTTGCCATGCTTTGTCAGGACTGGGGGTGGTAGTGTAGTTGTTATGTTCCACAAATGAGTGAAATCATCTAGTAAGTGCTACTTTCCGACTTCACTTGGAATGATCACCTCAGATCCACACATTTACCCCTGAAGGTATTTTGTCACTTCTGATGGCTGAGGAGTAGTCCATGGAGTATATAATTTCTTTTCTTTTTTATTTTACAAGTTTATTTTTACATCATTTTCTACATTTATTTTTTTTTTGCCATCTCAATTGTAATCCCCGCGGGCTTCCCATCACCAAGTCACCCGTGTGCCATCGCCATAATTCCGTGCACTCCCCTCCCCACACCCCACCCACCCTTTTTCCCCTCCCCCCCCACCCCCAGTTGGAGTATATAATTTCTTTATCCTCTTATCTGGCCTTGGGCATTTTGGTTGGTTCCTTGACTTGGCGACTGTGAAGAATGCTGCTATAAATTGAGGCCTGCTTGCTTTGTGTTAGCATTTTCGTAGTCCTGGAGTAAAATTGACTTCGCAGGGGAGTTCCATTTCTTTTTCTATGGCATCTCCATGCCAATTCCACGGAGGCTACACCATATTGCATTCCCGCCAAGGGTATGAGAAGGTTCCTCTTTCTCCAGGCCCCGCCATTTTTTTGTCCCCAGTCTTTCTCATAGGGGTGAGATGGTGGCTGGCTGTGAGGGTGAGCGTTTTCATGGGCTGCAGACCTTGTGGATGTCCTATTGGGAGAAGAGTCTATTTAGGTCTTTTGCCTTTGTTTTTGGACTGGCTTGTTTGACCTTTTATTCTCCAGTTATATGAGGTCATGACCCTAGTAAGCAGGTTTATTGAGTCAGTGAGGTGAACCCTGGGGAGAGTCACAAAGCAGTACCCCCTCCCCGACCCCTAGAAGGAGCAAGGTGTCCCCTTTTCAGCAAGCACTAAGTGATGGTGGAGAGTGGGTAAGGCAGGTCCCCAGTGAGGTCAGAGCATGGCCTGGGAGGCGCCTGCGCACTGGTCCAGCGGGTCTGGATACTGGAGCTTGTGAAGACTAGCAGCAGAGCTTCTGGTCCGGGTGGGAATTGCAGTGTGATGTGGGGGTTGGGCCTCAGGAAGCTCTTTCTGGAGCAGGAGCAGGAGCTGGCTGGCTGGATCTGGTTTGAGATGGTTCCTGGTGGGTATGTTTGTGGCAAGTTCTAGAACAGCAAGAGCTTCTGCAGAGGTAGTTAACTGGTTTTAGGGGACCCTTGACTTTTTGACCTGCCTGCTCTCTGGTTACACACTGTTTTGGAAGTAAACCCTGGCAAAGCTGAACAGGTGGGAGGACGCCAAACTCCCAAGTTCTGTACCTCAGAAGAAAGCACCACAAAAACGAACGGGCAACCTTACACCCTGGGAGAATTTACTTGCTGGCACCACTTGGGCCAAGGAGTTAATTTACAAAATGTACAAAGAACTCAAGCACCTTTAATGAGGAGCTCAGGCGGTCTGCCCTGCACCCCTCAGACCTCACGCACCTTGCCTCATTTAACACCCAGCGGGCAGCCAGACAGCAAGGCAAAAGGACTTTCAGTTGTCATTATCCCCTGGAATCATTTTAGATTTTGCTTGTTTATTGTTTGCTGCCCTTCTGGTGAGGAGAGGGGTCAAATTGCACCCTCCCTCCCCCAGGTTTTGGAGAAGGCCCCTTGTATTTCAGGCTGGGGCATGACCGGCCACTGGCGCTGTGATAGCTGATCTCCTTAAAAAGATTTTCTAAATACTTCTTTTTGTCTTAGGCAGGCTAGTGAAAATGAGGTAATGATAAAAAGCAAATGGGAAGGGGAGATCAGGAAACTGACATTTATTTATAAAAAATCGGCCAGGGGGCAGGCTTTGGGCTTGGTCAGTATCCCAAACGATTAGGGGAAAAGGAGGAATCTGTTAGCACACATGGCCATTACTGGCCTGCCAAGATGAATTTGGTTTCCTTGAGGACCTATTAAGTCGTCATTCTGCCCAGCTCGAAAGGGGCGGACTCTGGGGAGGGGAAGATGTTGCTCTGGCCACACCGCCTGGGCCTTGTGTTCTTTTCCAGTGGGGTTTTAGCTGCTTCACGATGTAGCCAGCAGAGGGCACTGTTGCCACACAGACGCCATTTTGACACCTGAGGGGAGAATCTTCAGAGCTGAAAATAAAAACTTCAATCCAGTAAGAAATACGCACGATTTCCATGAAATTTTAATGCGAAAAATAGATTATTATAAAGAACTTATGGTTGTCTAGTTGATTAATGACCCATCGAACTATAGATGGAAAGTGAAAACATTTCATAAGTTTGTTATCAAAGATGAAAATAGCAAGGGTAAAATAACTGATGATAAATATCAGCATGGTAGCCCTGCGTCATTTGGAATTCACCTAGGACCGTTTCTCCTAGGAGTGTGTGTGCTGAGACCTGGTAGCAGGAATGAATGTGTCTGATTCTGCCTAGATGTTTACATTTGTTATTCATTGCAAACATAAATTCTTCCTAATATCAGGGCAAGTAAACGTATCTCCATCCCACCAAAGGAATCTACCATCTGACGTCCTCCATTTGCCTCAACAGAATTTTTTTCAATTTTGTTTTCCATTATCCACTTGAGCCTGTCTGGGTTTCAGCCTCTTTCCAACCCCCACATTTACCCAGCCCTCTCCTGCCAATGCCTGGAAGTTCCCCCTCCCCACCCCTCGCCTTTTCTGCACACTGGAAAATCCCATCCATTTCTCAAGGTTCAATTCAAATACTGACCCTTTTGTGAGCGTGACCTGCAGTTCTTATTTTCTCAACTATAAACATTTTTGCAGTAATATGAGAATGTGTTCCCTTCCAGATATCATCAAGGCCTTTCCAAATGATTAAAAGTATAGGGAATGTGATCAGGTTAATGGAAAACAAGTAATAAAACTTGGGGAAGCAGAAGGCCCCACAGTGAAATGTCACAGAGGCTGTCATCAGCTTAAGCCTGGGACAGAGGAGCTGCAGAATGCAGATCAATGCTTCTGAACCAATCAGAGGAAGCAGGGAAAACTTCCTGTAAGAAGTGGTCCTGAGGTTAAGGAAATCTGGATGAATCAAAAAGCCCCTGAAGTCGTTGACATTTTGCTTGTAGGTGGGGAAGGGAAGAAGGAGAGAAAGGGAAGGCAAAGAAAGCCAGCAGGCGCCATCCCGCAGAAGGAAGTTGGATTTGATTCAGTAAGTCTGGGGGTCTCATGGGAGCACTGGAAAGTGGGGAACGTACTAAAGGGGGGGGGCTTGTGGAAAGGTTGTTCTGCAGGCCTTGTGGTTAAAGAGCTTGAACATCAGGACGCTGCCTTCTGGAAGCCACACCTTTGTTCAGATGAGGAATGGGAGGGGCCTGAACTAAAAGCAGAGGACTGGATCCTGTGATCTTGCCTCAGTCCTCACCTCCCAAAGGTGACTGCTTCTTCCCACAGTTCCATTATTTACCCAATAGAGTCAACAGTAATCACCTAAACCCGTCAAACCGCCTGCTCACACTCACACTTCTCCAGGTGTGCCCAAACTGTACTTATGAAGAATCAGGGACACCATTGTCAGAAAATCAGAGACCTGAGAATCTGCTCCTGTCACTCAGTTGATAGAAGTTAGGAGTACAGAGAGGCTGCATTGTAATTATTTATTTCTTTGGAAACTTTCTCATTCTCAAGCTGTGCTCACCTCAGGAGAAATTGAAGTATGAACTTGAGCTTCCAGTTTGGTTATGTGACCACTAGATCCCCGAGGTCCTCATTAGGACAGAATTGAAACACCACAGCCAGCCCTGACGTAGATGGTTATTCTAACACCATTTCTGAAGTTACCCTTCCTTCCCTCAATCCCTTCAAATAATACCACCAAACTCTAAAAATGCTAAGAGAAAATATGTGGGCTGGATTTTACTATCTTCCAGGGCGGAGGCTTTTGAAAATGAGCATGAAACAGTTGACTACAAAAATAGTTGAAATGTCTTTATGTCAAAAGCGAAAATAAATAAAATTAAACAATTACCAACAGGCTTGGAGAAAAATGTTTGCGACATACATTTAGAGTTCCCTGATATGATGAAAGTACCTAGAAATCAGTAAGAAAAAAATGAAAAAGTGGGTAAAAGGTATGCACAGACAGTTTAAAGATGAAGACATAGAAATGGCTTACCATATGGGAAGATGATTAAAGAAATAAAAAACAAACTAAAAATGAGGTAACTTGCTATTCACCTTCTGCTTTGCACCGATTACAGAGCTGGTGATACTTGCTGCCAGGGAACATATGGAGAGAAAGGATTCTCTTCCACTGTTAGTGGGCATGCACATTGTTATGGCTTGCATAAGGGTAATTTCGTATACATCATCATTATTATTATTCCAAATTTCTGTGCTCCTCATCGGCTTAAAAGCTACTTATGGCTTCATTTCGTTTTATGTCTGCCTTCTCCTAGATTTCAGTTACGCTTCTCACCTCAGCCTAACCTTGACACCTGAGTGGTGTGAGCCCTTCAAACCTGCATCAACAAGAAAACAAAACCAAAAAGAAAGTCCTCGAAAATCATCCTCATACAAAAGAAATTTGAGTTGGACTCATCTGCACCTTTGAGAGCTTGGAAAGAATCTGCAGTCAGGCCCCACCGTGCTGTCCTGCTCTCCCAGGTGACAGGATCCCCCTGGGGTGCCGACTGGTCCTTTCTCTCTTCTGTCCGCTGTTCCGCTGCAGCTGCGCAGCACACGCGCCGAATGCAGAGGCTGCTTTGTTATGATTTGTCTTGCCAGTGTTTTCGCTGCCATTACCGCACACCACTGTGTACCCATCCGTGATCTGAAACTTTCCATAATTGTAAGTTTGGTAAGCGTGACATCCCCAGAAAAAATCAAGCAGGTGGATGGTACAAGTGCAGGAGTGAAGAGGGTAGGGAAAGTGATGTCTGTCGCCAACAAAATGAGAGTTCTTGAAATGCTGGAGACTGGTGAAACGCACACCTCTGTGGGGCGTTTTTTTTTTTTTTTGGTGTCAATGAATCCACCATTCATGCAATAAAGAAAAATGAGAAAGCTATTTGAGCTAGTCCTTGAAAAACTCAGGCATTACCCAAAATGCCAGCTTAGAGACTATGGAAAGAGATTTGCACCTGTGGCTTCGCAATCAGAGAAGTCTGAATAATATTCTCTCTATGTGGTATCTGCCAGCGAGCAACACAAAACTGCCAGTTTAAATTTCGATCTGGACAAAAAATCATCACATTCATTGCAAGCAACGAGTGGTTGGACAAATTTAAGAAATGCTATCTATAGTCAGTATGAAAATAAGCGACTGGCAGATGAAGCGGATCGTGAAGCCGCTGCCAAGTACCCAGAATACCTGAAGCAGGTGATAGAGGAGAAGGGCTACGTGCCCCCAACAGGTCTTCAGCGCCCGACGAGGCTGCCTTCTGGAAGCACATGCTGCGTCTGCATTTCTACTACAAAGGAAGAGAAAAGCTCCAGATGTTTCAAGCCCAGAAGAGAGAAGCTGAAAGTCCTGCTTTGCCCCAATGCTTTGGGTGGCGGCTTTCTGATTACATCCATGTCGCTACACAGAAACAGGAATCCTTGCCCTCTGAAAACACAATGCCAGAAACACATTTCCATCTCCATGAGGGGAAACCATAAAATATGGATCACCGAGAAACTCTTTTTGGACTGGTTTTCGAAGTGTTTTGTTCCTGAGGTTAAAGTATATTTAAAAGAAAAAAATCTCCAGTTCAAAGTATTGCTGATTCTGGACATGGCTCCCACTGACAGAAGCACCATAGTCAACGCTGCGCCTCATGTTTAAGTCATTTCCCTTCCCCAGTACAACCTCACTCCTTCAGCCTATGCATCTGGGCGCGCTCAAAATGTTCATGATATACTACACGGCTTATTTTTTTTACTACATCGCATGTCTTACGAAAGAAACCCCCGAACTTACAGTGAAAAGCTCGGTGGACGGTCTTGCTCTGCAATGCTCTAACCATAGTAGAGGAATCAGCAAGAGAAATAAAGCAGGCGGCCCTGAATGGTTCCTGGTGGAAACTTTGGCGGGAGGTTGTAACTGACTCCCAGAGTTTCCTTCCAGTGGTAGAAGAAATTGAGAATGTTTTAGCATCTGCAAAATGCTTAGGTGCTGAAGGATTTGAAGGTGTACAGTCCAGTGACACTGCTGAATCTAGTTCCTCAGAGGTAGTTGAGAAATACCTCAGAGATGTGGTCCCAGCAAAAGTTGGTAAAACAGGTCAGCATAGGTTAACATCTGAAACTCCACAAACGTGGGGGCGCCCAGCCCACAAACCACATCCCTGCAAGGGTTCACAGGACAAAGATGATTCCAAGGAATGTTTACCTCATGTAAGCAAGGCTTACATGATCACTGCAGCCCGATAAAGTAGTCATAAGGAACCTGGGAGCAAAGGCCAGTAAGTCTCTCCTCTGCTTGCTTCAACAGGGAAGAAGAAACTGGGCCAGTGGACAGTGATGTGCCTGAGGATCCCCCCACCGGAAGTCCCCCCCATGTGATCCGCGACTCCAGCTGCTCGTGAGGGAGGAAATGGAGCAGAAGACTGAGCTAGCTTGACGGCAGACAAAATCCAGTCTCCATTCTGTCTTTATCACTGTCAATGCGCGAATGTCTTCGCGTTAAGATCAGAGTAATAGAGTAAATTACCCACTGATCACTCTTGCTATTGTAAAATACCATCCAGATTCACCTGGGCTTTTATTTCAGCGAACAGACTGATTTTCTGGGCTTTCGTAGTGTTTCCTTTCCTGCCCCGGTTCTTCCCCCAAGCTGGTCAGTTGCCCAACACAGATTCTTCTACCTGAGTATTTGGGGAACTCGACAACCGAGGGGGTGGGTGCTCCTCTTGTTCTGACAGTTTGATTTTGTGTTCTAGATTCGGAGATACATTTTAAATCTGTTTCAGCCTGACTTTCCGTTTCAGTGGGGAGGATCAGAGCCTTTGCTTGTAACTGCTTGGCCTCGGAAAGGCAGCATATTTCTGCACTTCCTTGGCTACCCAGTCAGGGTGGAGAAACTGCTGGAGTTTATTTCTACAGCTCCCTTTTCTCACCTCTGGTCTTCTCAGTGGTTGGAGAAGTTGGATGTCTTTGGAAAGACGCGGGAACATTTCCTCTTCCTAAGAGTGGAAATCCAGGGATAGCTTGCTTTCCCAGCCTGGAGCTCCGAATAAAAAGCTACCGTATCTTGAGTTCAAAGTGCTCAGAGAAAGGGAAAAAATAAGTTTGAAGGGCTTGCTTGCATAGTTACAATGGGGGTGCCAGATGTTGCCTAACAAGTTCAAAGAGTGGAAAACCCAGAGTAAGGTTCTGGGTGCCAGTGTCACAGCTCACGCTTGCTGGAGCCAGTGCCGGCGATGATGGCAACTGAATGCCCAGGCAGACCTTGATGGGGAGCTTGGAAAATGCAGATTTCAAGACCTGCCCCCAGGCACCCTGAATCAAGGATGGGGCACAGTCTGTGTATTTTGAGAGCTCCTCAAGTGATTTTGTTCCCATGCCCAGGATTGCAAGCTACTGCTCCCCACAGTTACAACAGAAAATACGATACAAATGGCAATGGGCCCGGGAGCTAGGAAACCTTGATTCTAAGTTTCTGCTCTTCCAGTGGAACAACAGATGTCCTCATTGGAACGCTATGCCTCCTTTCCTGTCAGGTGAGCGCAGGTCCTTCCTTGCCGTCACTTTGGGGCAGGGTGCACAACCTCACTGGTTGATATTTTTTCTTTAAAAATTTATTTATTTATGCATACAAGAACTGGGGTACAGGCCAGAGGTATGGGGATGTGACTCACGTGGCATGGCAAACTCCTGGCTGTGTCCCGGCTGCTCCCCTCAACAGTGGATTCAGTAGATCCGCCAGCTCTGCCCCCCCCCCCCGCTCTGTCTCTGAGGAATCCTCACTGGTTGATTTTGAGAGTACCTAAACTCCTTCCTAGAGACGAAGGCAAGTCGCACGAGCACTTGTGTGGCGTTCCTGTTACTTTGCAAATGGTGTTGGTGGCTCAGTGTGTGCCTTGGTTTAGTCCCTCCATGAAGAGGGAGCCGGGCATAGATGCCATATAAAGGACTGGGGGCTGGGGGTCAAGCATAGCGTCAGTTTCCTAAAAGCGAAGAGAGGGAGCACCACCTGAGTTTCTCGGCGTAATTGTTTTTCTTGAGTTCCAGTGTATGGGGAAAATCATAATCACAGTGACTGTGAGTAAAAGGTGTTACTGTTCTGTTGACTCTTGTTTCCATAAGTCAAAGCAGAGAACTCTGTGGTGAGTTTGGACTTCCATGGGTAAATGGTAGATTCTTCCCCATTTCTACAGGTGAATATTTGGAAGGCAGTGGTCTTTTTTTTGTTTGTTTTTTAACCAGTACATTTAGTGGTCCAACATGCCTTTAAGGAACATGCTTTGCCGATAGTTTTACCAGTCTTTGAGACTGCTTTGGCATTTTGTTCTCTTTCCTTGGCCAGAATTAGATAACTCAAATTTTACTTTATTTATTTTTTAAACTTGATTTCTTTTCTTTTGAATTTTAAAAATATATTCATTACATCAGCCTTCATTTTTGCACCATGTATGTTTCCCTGAGAAATTCCTGCCACCAGTTCCCCTGTGCACCATCACTGTCGTCCCTGTCGTTCTGATTCTTCCCCCTCTTCCTCCCCTCCAGAATGTCTCTGAGCCATAGTAGCCTGATGGACAAATCAAACTTTAACTCAAACACATTAGCCAGGAACTCCTAAAACACAAAATAATACAACTGTGGTAGGAACGCCTACATTTTGGCTTGGCAGATGGGAACTTTTGTCTGGGTCCAGAGCCCTTTGAAATAAAATACTAGGATAAATGTAGTTCCTGTTTTAAGGTAACATCTAGTTAAAATGACCTACGGAATGCCATTGATGGCAGTGAAGGTAGAACATTTTGATGTGCTTGAGGTTACCACTCAGCAGAGCTTACAGGAGGATGTACAGGCTTGGTGCAGATTAACTGGTAGAAATAGAAGTTAACACTGCTGTGTACATGGGTATTTCTTTCTTTTTAAGTTAAGAACAACTCCCAAATTTGAAAAGCCAAAATTGTCTGAGCATGTTTTATGCAGTTTGAGTGGAAACAATCTTTCTGTGTGAAACGGTTCAGGTAAAATCTTGTGGTCAGTATTGTAATGTACATGGAAATTCCCTTCTTTCCAAACATTGAACCACAGTCAAAAAGGAAAAAAAGAAAAGAGGGCAGCTCAGTTTGCTGATATTTGTTGAAAATATTAGAAAGCTGGTATTACATTTAAAAATAGACTTTTGTTCGTTTAAAATCTTTCAAGTTCAAAACACAGAGAAGGTTCTTCAGCTACCCATCTGCATTTCATTGCGACTACCACATGGCCACTCTACAGGGCCTCTGATGTGTGTGGTCAGAATGATGGTGTGGGCCATGCTTGTGCTGTGCAGTCCATCAATTGCTGGATTTTACAAGTGTTCCTTAATAGTTTTGATGTCAGAGTGCTGTGGTTGGTTAAGAATTCAGAAATAAATGCTATGAACAGATTATATATGTTTTGGGGAACCATAAAATCAAAAAAGATATGGAAAGATAAAGAATGCATTTCATTTAGCACAGATAACAAATACTTAGAAATTAAATATCCGTCGATATGCTTGAGACCTTGCTTTTTAGCAGTGGCATCGTGCATAACTACTGAAAGATGCAATGACCCACCTGGAGTTGGCTCTTGATTAATCGATGCCATAATGAAAACTTTGCATTGATTTTTTCTCTGCCCTCGGTTAGGGTTTCCCTCTTTTTGGGAGAGTGATATTTTGTCTCTGCAGGATAACCCCTGAGCTATTGGGGTTTAAAGAAGTCAGCATGAAACCTGGATTTTGGAATGCCGTCTCTGTCAAATACCAGCTTTGTCACTACAGGCAGGTTTCTAATCTGTAAAATGGGGTGGTAAAGTACATGCATCATAGGATTGGTCTGAGGTTATATAAAATGGTTTCTACAGTGCCTGGCTCATAGTAAATGCTCAAATAATTGTTGCTATTATTATCATCATAACGTAACTATTGTAGAATTGGAATATGGTCGTTAAGTCCTGTCTTTGCAAAATTTTAGTATTTTTATATTTATCTGATTTCCCTTCAAATAAGGCATGCATGATTGTCTTAAGAAGAAAGAAGGAAGAGCAATTGAGTTTTAATATTTTTGTTTGCTTGTGAAAACAATAACTCCTTTGTCCTTATGTTACTCCTGACCTGCAGTGATTGTACATTCTGTGTCTATAATGTGGTTATCATTGCATGCTATATTTTATATCATGATTTTCCACTTGGGCGAATTCTTATTCTCTAAAAAATAATACATCCACTTGGTTCCACTTTCAAAATAATTAAGTCACCCTATGTTATAGGAGCTACAGAGAAAGCTATATATAGGACCTGCTTTGCTTACACTCCAAAGTTATTAACTGCCTTGAGAGAAATTGGATGTAAGCGATCTTACTAGATAAGGACGGTCTTCATAGCAAACGTCTGAAATTCTTTGTATTTCATGTGTCCTATGATGGCCTTTGAGTGGTTTAGGAGAGTGTTATTCAGAAGGCTGAGGATTCGCCAGTGCTCTAACGCTGTGTCAGCTGAGCAGCAAACTGCCACCACTACCTAACTTGGATGACTGGCATGCTCACACCTCACAGCCCAGCCCTTCAAGGACTTCAACTTGGAGTCTTCTGTGTCCTCGTGTATGTTTCTAATCGCCTTTGCCACTCGGCGCTTTGCTTCTTGACCAACATTCTTGTGTATGGCTCTGATTCTGCTATCTCCTTGTTCAAACAATCTGCAGTGGCTGCTTGTCCATGCACTCCAGTCAACCTTTCAGTCATGTCCCATCCCACTGTACCTTAGCCAGTGTTGTCTGCTAGTGTTCTCTGTAATACTCACGTGGTACACTTGTTTCACACTGTACACGTGCATGTGGTTATCGTCCCTGGCTTCTGGCCCTACCTAAGTACTAAGGATCTTTGGCCTGTAACTCAACCCTGAGTTCTTAATCCCTTTATTTTGGCTCTTATGGATAAAATAAAAAAAAATAGACTGATTACTTGAAGCCAGGGTATCTGAGCTGAGCTTGCCAAGCTGTAGTCCCCTGCTTGTTCTCCATTATTGCAGATATCTAGAGTTAGCTCTTGATTAGCTGGCGGTTGTGTGCTGACTGCTGTGGTGAGAAGAGCATGGGACTTAAAATGAGCACCTTGCTACTGACTTTTTACCTGCCCTCATTCCAGAATAGGGAGGCTCCCTCTCTTTGGGTGAGAGCTGCTTAGACATGGTGGGATAATCCTGCTCTGTAGAGACAGGGCAAGTTCTCTAATTTTTTTCTTCAGTTCCACTCTCCTGAAGTAGGACATCGTCACTGAACCATGCTCCCTTGGCTGGCCCCTGAATCCTACCCCTTTAATTCTGACTGAATACAAATATTATTTGGCCTCCAAGGCAGCTGGTGATCAAAATTTCATTCTTCGATTCTTGCCAGCCTCATCTGAGTTTTATCACATTCATTGTTTCTTTATTAACACCAGGCTTCAAATTCCTGTTTGCTCTCTTGCTAGCTTTGGATGTACATAAGTTTACCATATTCGCAATTTGGTTTCTAGAGCCATGTCTAGCAAACTCAGGTTCTTGAACTCCACAGATGGTCCAATTTTTTTCTTTAAATATACTCATATTGATTATGGCTATAGGCAGTGGTAAAGCTGAGGTTGAATAGTTGTGAGAAAGGCCCAGCGGCATACAAAACTATACTTAGCTATCTGATCCTTTACAAAAACTGTTTGGTGACCTTATGTAAAGCCAAGTGTTTCCTCTTGCCTTGTACTGTTTATTTGATAATTTCTTGTTCTCATCCTGTACAGATATAGCAGGCCAGTTTTTCGAGACCATGGAGATAAGGTTCCAACCCAAACTACTTGAATTTTCCTGTTTCCTCTTTGTCATCTTCATAAAATGTCCTGTCCTGTGGTTTTTTTCCTGTTAGTGTAATGGATTCCACGGTGATAGACTAGTAGATGTTGGGTCCTTTGCCTGGACAGACCTCCCCACCTCCCCCACAGAATCATATGCACACTGTTGTGTGGAAACAAAGAATGAGCCATGGGTGCTGGAACAGAAAAACAGGAGGCAGGAAGTGTTCCTGCCTTGTGTTTGCTACCTTGTGTTCTTTGACCCCCATGTTATTGTCGCATGTTATTGATGCACTTGCTGAGAGCTGCCGCCTACCCCCAGGCTCCATGCTGAAGGGTATAAATAGGGAAGGAGAGAAAAATAAAGTGGGTGCCTTTGCTTGCTGACCAAGAAGTGTGTGTTTTAATCCTGACGTCCTTCGCTCAGACCATCTCTGCTGTCGTGCTGGCGCAGCAAACCTGCCTTGTGTTTTTCTGTTCCAGCACCCATGGCTCATTCTTTGTTTCCACACAACAGTGTGCACATGATTCTGTGGGGGAGGTGGGGAGGTCTGTCCAGGCAAAGGACCCAACAAGTAGAGTAGCCTTTTATGTCTCTAATGTAACATTGGGTTCTAATATGAAAGTCTTTCAACATTACCAATATCTTTTACCATGTATACTTTCAGTATTTCTAAGGTTATGCCTTTCAACTCTTCATCATCTCTTAACACCAGGTCCTCTGAGCTCCATAGCTTCCAATATCTCCAACTGACAGATCTTCTGAATGTTATGGTATTCACAGCTTCCAGTCTCTGACCTACAGCATTTCCAATGCTGCTCTCATCTTCCAAATAGTCATTGAAAGTCTTAAGTCTTTGAATATAGCCAACAGTCTTCAAGATTCAGATTTTGTTTTTCATGGTCCAGAGCTCTAATTGTCATTCCTCTTGTGTTCCCAGTCTTCCAATGTCTCCTATACCTAGGTCTTTGAGAGTCCATGTATTTAATTGTGTCCTTGTCCAATATTTTCTGGCACTTACGTTATTAATTTCCTACAAATTTTAATATCTCTTAAATCCTAACTTTACAATGTCTTGTTATCACCAGTTCCTCCAATACCCACTTCTTTCAGTCAGTACCTTTAAGAACCTGGTCTCCTAGAAGTCAGGCATCCCGACATACCCAATGTCAGAATGATTATGTCTCTTAACATCCTAATCTCTTAATGTCTTTGTTTCCCAATGTCCATGGCTGCCAACAACCCTGACTTCTAGCATCATGAATATGACATCTTTCAACTTCTATATCTTTTAAAATGAATATGTCAACATCCAGGCTTTCCAATGTGCCCCAATATCCAAGGGCATCTGACCTAAGATTTTAAATGTTTAGATATTCAGTTGTTCATATTGTTTTATCATTAGGGTTTCCAGGTACATGAATTGCAGTATCGTTAGAGTACAGGGCCTTTAGTATCCATGCCTTCTAATATCCATGAATTCCAACATTCAAGGCTTCAAAATCACCAATATCCAGCATAACCAATGTCTGCGAAAGCCAAGGCTTCCAGTGTCCTCAACACCCTGTGCTTCCAATGTCTCCAATGTCCAGGGTTTCCAATGGCACCAGTGTCGAGGTCTTCCAGCAACTCCAGATCTTCCAGCAACTCCAGGTCTTCCAGCAATTCCAAGTCTTCCGACATCTTCAAGATCTTCCAGCTAATCCCAGTCTTCCAGAAAATCCACATCTTCCGGACAATCTATGTCTTCCAGAAAATCCACATCTTCCAGTAAATTTAGTCTTCCAGCAATTCTAGGTCTTCCACAAAATCCACATCTTCCAGGAAAATCCATGTCTTCCAGAAAATCCATGTCTTCTGATGATTTCAAGGTCTTCCAGACAATCCACAACTTCCAAAAATTTCAAGGTCTTCCATATCTTCCGGAAAAATCTGTGTCTTCCATGTAATCCATATCTTCCAACTATATAAAGGTCTTCCACATATGGGAAAATCTGTGTCTTCCAAAAAATCTACGCCTTCCAATGATTTCAAGGTCTTCCACATCTTCTGGAAAAATCTGTCTTCCATACAATCCACATCTTCCAACGATTTCAAAGTCTTCCACATATTTTGGGAAAATCCATGTCTTCCACCAGATCCAAGTCTTCCAAAAATTTCAAGGTCTTCCACATCTTCCAGGAAAATCTGTGTCTTCCATCAAATCCAGGTCTTCCAGCCAATTTATGTCTTCCGGAAAAATCCAGGTCTTCCAGAAAGAAATCCAGATCTTCCATTCAGTTCATGTCTTCCAGAAAAATCTATGTCTTCCTCCAATTCTAGATCTTCCAGTCAGTCCACGTCTTCCAGACAAAAATCTGTCTTCCACTAAATCCAGGTCTTCCAGTCAAGCCACGTCTTCCAGAAAATTAATGTCTTCCACGGACTCAAGGTCTTCCAGCAAGTATATGTCTTCCTGGAGATCCACAGCTTCCTGAAAATCCATGCCTTCCAGTAATGTCCAGGTCTTCCAAGCAATCCAGGTCTTCCGGACAATTCGGGTCTTCCTGAAAATCTACTGTCTTCCAGAAAAACCATGTCTTCCAGGAAATCCACGTCTTCCAATGACCTCGAGGTCTTCCAGCCTATCCACGTCTTCCTGAAAATCCATGTCTTCCATCAAATCAACGGCTTCCAGGACATTCATGTCTTCCAGCCTACCCTCGTCTTCCAGGAAATCTGCGTCTTCCAGAAAAATCTGTCTTCCTATGTCGCCAGTTCTTCCAGCATCTCCAGGGCTTCCAGCATCTGCTCGTCTTCCGGCATCTCCACATCTTCCAGCGTCTTGGCGTCTTCCACCAGTTACCCAGTCTTCCAACAGCGGGCTCAATATCCACGTCTTCCAACGTTTCCAGTGTGCCAGGATTCTAACATTCAGGTCTTCCAGTGTCTACGATATCCAGGTATTCTAACATGTTCCATAGTCTGGTTCTCTTGATCTTTCCCAATTTTAGTCTTCCCATGTTGAACATTTCCATGTCAGATCTTTTCTATCTCAAAGATTCCTGCTTCTATTAGAAATTTCTTTAAGAAATTTAATAAGCATTCCTTTTATAGAACCAAGATTCCTTTTTTTTATAGACCCAATCTTATAGATCAACCATATCTCACCAAAATAGTATTTTTTTTTTCCTTAGGAAATGTGTATTTATTCCTTAGCACTTTTAAACATAACACTCATAAAACATCTTCTACAGAATAAATGCACAGGTAGAATTACTGTGATAAATTTTGCCACTTTGCTAATGTTTAAAGGTTTTTATACAGTCAGTTATGTTTAGGTGCAGATATTTGTGTCAGTGAAAAAAATTCCTGGGTAGAGACTTACATTTTAGATAATGTTAACATACAATGCATACATTTTTATAACATCACGTTTGTTTGTTTGATTTTACATGATTAAATGGTAATAGTAACAATACTAATGACGTTTGCTATGTCCAGGCACTGTAATAAGGTCCTTACATGTATCAACTCAGTTTACCTTTGCAAGAACCCATCGAGGTAGGTACTATCATTAATCCCATTTACAGATGAGTAAACTGGTACACTGAAGTGAAGTAACTTGTCCTTTGGACAAGATTGATAGCACTGGACTTGAATCCATTTAGTCTATTTCTAGAATCCATGATCCTGAGCACTATGGTATAACGTCCACTATTGAAAATTAAGATGATAATTACTAGGTCGAAAACCTGACTGCTCCATTTTATGCATGTAATATTATAAGATCTTACCCATAAATGCTGTCACTTTGCCCTGTTGCTCTCACAATCTATTTGTAGACACAGTCTTCTTTCCTCAACTAGCTAATATCATTCCATTGCCTGTGTATATGGAACTAGGCAGAAGGACTTCCTGATGCCATTTTCAGTTTGGGCAGAAATAACAAAGGAGCGCTTAGCTCAAGTCCACTTTGATTTAGAATCATATTCTTAACGCCATGCTTGGAATTTTCCTCCTCCCATCTTAACCCGTTATCACTGACCCTCTCCGGCCTATATCTTACTATCAAGACCACATAGCATTCATTTGTTTTCTGATCCCAAGGATCTGCCTGCTTCAAATAATCACTGATCTCCTGATTCCTGACCATTTCTGCCTTGTGTCCAAGTAATGTAACCACAACTCTAATTCCCAGCATACTCACTTAGAGAAGTATCTGTGTTCTATGTCTCAGCTCCTATCACATGCTTGCAGGGATGATGATACCCAGGCTGGCATGACAAGCATTAAAGTCACATAATAAAATTATGGTTAGGCAAAGACTCACTGAAGATTTAGAATCATCTACATGGTAATGAAAATTAATAGTGATAACAAAAATAGAAATAACTTCCAAATGTCTGATGATTTAGTTTATCCCATACAGTCACTTCATTCATTCCCATGTTCACTCATTTGTTTTGCAAATATTTGTTGAGTGCCAACTGTGTGCCAGGCATATGTTATGGAGCTTAAAACCATATGGCGGAAACAGACAATGTACTTAGGCACTTATTTATCAGTCATAAGGCCATAAAGGAAAAGTATGTATGGGAGCCTATGGGAATCTAGACAAGTAAAGAATTCCGAAGGAAGTAACATTTATTGAGACTGAAGAATCGATTTTATAGTAGTTTTTCTTAATCAGGTTTAACAGCAAGTAGAAAAAAAAAGTGGGTGTGGGATTCATGCATTTTAACTTCTTTGATTCCTTGCTGCCTTTAATATATATAGTAAATACGGTTTTGGCAGTATATGTCAAGGGAATGTAAAAATGTTGGTAGTTTTGACTTAATATTTTCTCATGTCAAGGAAATTATCTTAAAAAAGGTAATTCATGCACAAGGGTGTTTCTCATAATTATTTGGTATAGTGAAAAACAGAAAAAAATGTAAGGGTCTTTTGAGGTCACAAGTAAATATGCTATTTTCATTTGCTGGAATATATTTCCATTGAAACATCCATGTAATGCTTATATTATATAATATTAATAGGAAATCAGCATATAAAATTTGTAAGCACGAGATGGCAATTATTTCAGATATATATACTCAAAGACAAATGACTAGAATTAAACACATTGAAGTTTGTGAATTAATTCTCTCTAGGTGGGTAGGAATATGTGTGATTTTAATTTTTTTGTTAAGTTCTTACAGTGTGAAATTATTCTAGGAATAACAACCAGGGGAAAAAACAATTGTGCAAGGAAGTACATTTTTCATCTTTTTATTATTCATGTAGTCAAGTTTTACTGTTGAAAACACTTCAAAATATTAGTAAATAAAATAAAAGAATTAAAAATTTCAAAGTCAGTATACAAGTAATCACTGTAAAGTTTTTGGTATACTTTCTTACTATTTCAGCTATATATATGTATATTTTATGACATGGAATCATACTGCCATTGGGGTTATGTGTTTATACTACCAATAAACATGTCATCTCCTATTGGGAGGCAGTAAGTTCTTTCTTGTATCCTTTTTTATTATAAAAACTGCTGTGCTGAGCACATATGTTGCATAAGTTGGGCTGAACACCATCATCATATATGATCCCCCCATATGTGTTTGTATGTAAATTTGTTCAGTTTACAACTGATAGATTCTTAAAGGAGACTTGCTAAACCAAAAGCTATGTAATTCAGATGCATATCATAGCAAAAAAATTATAAATCCAGACATTCAACTATTGGAGGTGACTGAATAAAATGATATTTAACTGTGTGGTGATATGCAATGCAGCCTGTTAAAGTTGTACCACAGAAGAATATTTACTGAAATGGGAATATTTTCAGAATACCTCATTAGTGAGAATAGCAGGTCACATTGGAAGTATGTATAATATTAAAATTTTGTTCAAAGGAAATGTCCTCAGAAAAATACCCAGAAAATATACACTGACATGTGAGGATGAAAATCCCAAGAGGAAAATGGATAAATTATGGTATATTTACACAGTGGAATATTTTACAGCAGTGAACTAATGTACTATAGTTAAATAATAATAATGGTAAAATTTACTTCTGTAATGTTAAATTAAGATTATACATAATAAGATACACTTTATAGCTAATCTAAAAATAAGTTTAAAACATTGTTTAGGAGGCATATATATACACACATATGGGACAAAATATTTTATGATAAAGCAAGGGATTATCAATCAAAAATCCAGGACAGAGGTCAGTGGGCTTAGGAAAGGGGAGAATTCTAATTGCTAACTAGTGCTTTAGTGCTTAGGTTTGAAGAGTGAGTGGGTGATCATTATGTAATTAAAACTGTCATTGACTAATAATTGCATGATTATTGTGAAAAGTAAAAGTGCAAGTTAGTGGACAAAATTTTTAAAAAGGCCACACATGAATCAACAAGACAGCATGATTCATGACTACATGAGTTACTCATAATCCAATTCTCTGCACTTGAATTGCGTATTTTCTTAAGAAGTTATCTCTAGGTGATTGGAGTACATGTACATTTAATTCTCTTGTGGCTCTTTATTATCTTAGATTTCTATACAAAATTCAATGGTGAAAAGCAAGCTCAAAATTACAAGTGTTAACAATAATTGCCTCTGTGTAGTGAGATTTCATCACTTTTGTTTCCTTTTAATTTTTATCCAAATGCTATACAGTGAGTTTATCTTATGTTTTTAAAGATTTATTTATTTATGCATACAAAAGGGGGGTACAGGCCAGAGGTGTGGGGGGTGAGAAGATTCACCAGAGACAGAGTGGGGAGCAGAACAGGCAGATTGACGAAGTACCGTGCTGAGGGGAGCAGCGGGCAGGTCAGGAGAGGTCTGCCACGCCATGTGGGTCACCTCCAGGGCCGGGATGGAACTCGTGCTGCAGTGGCTGTGGACAGCTTCATAGTGCTGTGCTTCAACCCCTTGCGCCACCAGGGAGGGCTTATCTTATTTTCTGTTATAAAAGTAATGCACCTTATTCTAAAAGTAGAAAATGTGATAGCACATAAAGTGACAAGTTCCTCTCCCAACCCCACTGCCCAGAAACACGGTTATTTGCATCTTCTGAGTACTTTCTCTGTTTATGTGATCTGTTCTTGGCTTCATTACAAAATGAAGCCAGTACGAACACCATATGTACGACCTGTTTCCTCCTTGTCCCACTCAATAGAAAGTCATTGTTTTAACAGTGGGAATTCCACAGTAGGGTTTGCAGTATAATTTATTGTATTGTAATATAACAGTTATAAAATATTATAGTTCCACCTGATAGATCCTTAGATTATATTTTTTTTCTACTATAGGCACTGCTATGAAAGCATGTTAAAGCACTCTTTTACATATTTAGAAGTATTTTTATTGGTTAGTATCTTAGTAGCTAGACCAAAGTGTTTGAGCTAATTGCTCTCTGGGCAGGCTGGGCATTTATCATCCTTTCTAATTTTTGTCACCATTTTGGATGGAAAGTGCCATCTTCCTCATGCCATGATTTTTCCTTAATCATTGGTAAAATTAAACATCTTTTAAATATTTATTCGTTCTTGTACTTCCTTTGTAGATTACTTGTCTATATCCTTTGCCTATGTTTTTGCTGATTCATTTGTGTTTTTCCTTTGTTGATTTGTAGGTCTCTGAGTATAATTGAAAATATCTATCATTTGTGTTTTTGAAAGTGTGTTCATGGTGGTCTTTGCCATAAGGATTTAATTAATTAGCAAACATTTTAAATCTATTATTTATAGTTTCTTGGTTTTGTTTCATATTTATGTAGATTTCTGTACCCCAAGACTTTAAAAATATTCTCTATATTTTTGTTCTATACTCATTTAGAATTCACTCTTTATCATGAACTATATATTTGTGTCGGTTATTTTTCTGTTGAATTTTTGTTTACTATCAAGTTGATAATAAATTTAATTCTTACTGCTTTAATTATCATGGATACTGTGTTTTGAAATCTAACAGGGTTGCTTTCTTTTCTTTATTAGTTTTTTTGGGATTTACTTGACTATTCTTGTACATTTTATTTTTCCACATGAATGTTAAAATCAAATCAGCAACTTAAGTTTTTTTAAAATCCCTCGAAGTGCCTAACACCTTTGAATGCTGTATCAAGAACTGACTTTCTGATACAGAGTTTTGCATTTATTGTCTCTGCAGGTATCATAATAAAATTACCCTGAATCTGCGGGTTTCCCACGTACACAATCATGTTGATGTAAATAATGAGACATTTGTCTTTTTCCTTGCTAATGTTCCTTTTTTTTTTTTTTCCCTTTGAACACATTGGTGTGGCTCTTAGGAATTCCAGAACAATGCAGGTTTATGTTGATTAGTAAAGAACAGTTATCCTTCTTTTGTTCTTGACTTGAATAGAAATGCCTCGTTGTTTCATTTAAGATGTGATGGTTGTGCTTGTTTCTGATAGTCTTTTTCAAGATAATGGAAATGCCATCCTCGTCCTCACTCTTGGTTGACTCACGGTCCTGTCAAGATTGGCTATGGAGTGGTGGCAAAGGCTTTTCTGGCCTCTGCCAGGATGAAAATATGATTATTCTTTTTAATCCCTGAATGCAGTTCATGACACAAATAGATTCCCTAATGTTGAACTGTTCTCTCATCTTTTAAAAACACACCTGCCATGCATTAGCTATTGACTATTGCACTTCCGACACCCCATGGCCCTGACACATGCCGGGAGCTGCGCCTCCTTACACTTTCACTGCTGGCGTCCTGGGGAGGGAAGTGGGCCAGTAGCTCCTGGCAAAGGCTGCTGGCTCCCTGGCTCTGCCTGGCTGCCCTCAAGGCGTCAGGAGACAAATGTCCCATTACAGCAAACCTCACGTTACACATTCAGAGGCCACAACAGCACCAAAGCACACTGGCTGGGAGCTCACTTATTTTTCTTATATGTGACGCTTTTTTCCTCATGTCATCTCACAATTGTTTCCCCTGTAAATGAACTTGACTCCCTACTCCCCTTTAAGGCTTAAGTAACTTAGACACAGCTGTTCCCATGAACAGCTGCTAACACTCATCCATAAAACCTCTTGTCCCAGTGCTTTGTTTGGGGAGGGTGGAGGATGTAAATCCTCTTTTCATTCCTTTAGTGATTGGTCTTTCCAAGTTTTCCACCTCTCCTTCAGTCCATTTTTGTCACTGTGTCTGTAAACTCTCCTGTTTAATCTGGATTTTCAAATGTATTGATTGACAGTCATACATAATATTTTCCAATGTGTCTTAATTTGCATGTGGTTATATCCTTGTAGATTTTTTTCCTTGATAGGGCTTTCTTATGGTTTCTAGTTTTCAGTCATTTTTAGTGCATTATTGAAAATATTTTGTAAAATAACACTTCCGGTTTTGTTAAGTTTCAGCTTGTTTTCTTAAATCTCTGGATTATTTAGGTGAATGCTCAGCTTATTTTTCAAGCCTTATTTTCTATTTAATGTATTTAAATTATAAATTTTCCTCTGACTATGTATATGAGTAGTTGGACTGTATCCTCCAGTTTCACATACGATGTTGTTATAGACATTCTTTTATCACCTTAACAATCGTTACATGTGTTTTCCTTGTTATTTACTTTTACACATTTAATTATTATTATTTTTTTTCTTGCATTGTGTAGTCCCTATAGGTTTTCCTTTTTAACCCAGGAGTTCTTTAGAAATGAATTTCTGTATTTTGACATGGTTAGGCATTAGTTGTTCTGCTGCTTTTCCATCCTTTTTTTTTCCCTTTATTCTACATACACCAGCTGGAGGGAAAGAGGGTCTCATATAGGAATTACACATTTTAGAGTATTTTGCATCCTTAAATTAAAAAAAAAAATCTCCCTGGCAATTGAATGGCAAGTGTGTGTTCTTTTGTCCTCATAAAATCCCTTTTTACCTGCTTGAAGTAAGTTTTCTGATAACAGTATGTAAATTCTTCCACTTTGTTTCTTTTTTAATCACAATCTCCTATTTTATTTGCTTAAGATGTATTTATTTATGCATACAGAACTGGGGTGCAGGCGAAAAGTGCAGGGGTGGTGAGAGGATTCAGCAGAGACAGAGTGGGGAGCAGAACAGGCAGACTGACAAGGTACACTGCTGAGGAGAGCAGTGGGTGGGTCGGGAAGGTCTGCCGCGCCATGTGGGTCACCTCAGGGGCTGTGGATCGAACTCACACTGAAGACTGAAGCTGGCTTGCAATGCTGCACTTCACCTGGTTGTGCCACCAGGGAGGGCCCACAATCTCCTATTTTTAACCTCCCCCCCCCACTTAGATTTCTTTTTCAGAACATTAAATTTCATGGTTGTCTTATTGGGTTGTATTAATTAGTATAATGATCCCTCACTGACTCTCCTTCATTTTGGTGAACATTTCCAAACTATCTGTCTTTATTCCAACATTTTAAACTACTTCTGTGTTTTGTTTTACATATATTTTTCCAGAACAGCAGATGAGATTTTTTTTTACTCCATCCGAGAATAGTGCTATTGAATGCGTTAATTAAGCTTCTCACATTTACTGTACTGTAATATTTATACTTTGTTAATTTTTCTCTTCCTGCTAGATTTCTGAAAATGTATGTACTCTTCTATGCTGATTTAAGAGTTTTTAAAAAATCACTTCTATTTAATAGTGGCACTTATGTTACCTTACACATCTTTGTATTGTAACTTTTTGTAAGTGAGCATAGAGTAGCTTTGTAATAAAAAACAAAAAAAAAAAAGCTTTTAAATGAGTCTAGTCTTACTCCTCTTGCTCAGACTCTTCTAGATTTTGCATTTTTCCTCCCACCAACGTTTTACTCTCGCTACTGTCCATCCTGTTTGTCACCAGATGATCTCCTTAAAGTATTTCCGTCACATCACTCAATTCCCGATTAGATGTAAAGCGCTACCCCTGACTTCCGCCTTTCCTGACCTTCGCTCCGTAATCGTAAGTGTTGGCTGTGGACTGTCTAGAGTCAGAGTCCTGCCCAGCCAAGTCGTCTGGATACTTGCCCGCGGAGGTAAATCATTCTTTTGTCCTAGTACTTTGCCATTAGGAGAGACCTGATCTTTAGCGCGCAGAAACACCCTGCTTGTAAAGTGACCTGGAGCCGGAAACTGGGCAGACCTGGAGCCGGGAACTGCGGGCAGGCGCCACAGGGTGGGGCCCGCCCATGTAAGCACGCTGCTGCTGACCTGTAGGTGGCGCTAATGCCGCGCTGAAAGCGCACCCAAACCTAGCCAAGCTTTTCGGCATTAGAAAAGTCTGACCTCATTAGCAATATGAAACATGAGGGTGAGCCCAGTGCCATATCTGCCCGCAAGTTCCCAGTAGCTGAGAAAGTGCAAGATCTGATTTAAAATCCAGACTCACGTGGTCCTGCACAGAGACTGAGGGCAGCAGGCACATCTGCGTTTTCTGTAACTTGTCTCTGCGCTCGCCGTTGTTGTTCCTGCCTAGTATCCTCACAAACCACCGAACCACCTTGGGCTTTGCTTGGACTCCTCTGGTTCCAGGGGACCATAATCACTTCTCTGACATTAATTCCCACAGACCAGTCAGGGGTGGGGGGTGGATTTTACCTTGGCGCTATTCACATCTGTGAAAATGCCCTTGCTTGGTTGCCAGAACACGGCCCCTCTGAAAGTACGATGCTTTTTTTTGCAGTGAAAAAATGAAGAGCCCAACCGGGTTGACTGGAGGAGAAATTACGAGTGCTACATATAACAGGGCATACGGGCTAAATAAGGTTGCCACTTACACGATGGGCCCAAAGGGTTACTTTTCAAAACCACATATTTATGCAATTATTCATTTTTTTGTTAGCAGTGTTTTTTCTTCTTTTTCTACAGATTTTATTCCTCCATGCGGTGTGTTATGCAACCATACCTTGTGTCCAAATTACATGTTGGCCACACTCCCAATTTAGCACTGTTTTAAAAAAAATATTATCAGCTTATATTTCTTCAAAATGGCCAGAAAATGTAGCCAAGGTCATATTTCATCAAATTTTTATCCAGAAAATTCAGCTGGGATTAGTTCTTTACTCCTGTATACATTACAATTTTGTTTATTTACATAGGAGCATCTCTATATAAATATCTATCTATATAGGGAGGTAGCACCAGAAATTTAAGACAGCAAACTTGGAATTCAATTATGTTCACAATTACTTGCCCTCCTTTCTCTCACCCTTTCTCTAAGCCCACTAATCCTCTACATTGTTTTGAAACCAGGGCCCCATAGCACGGACTGCAAGGCAAGACTGGAAATTTCTCACCATGGGCAAGCAGCCAGAGACTAGGCACAGGGACCGTGGGCCATAGGCCGGTGCCTGCGGGCAGCCCCTGCCTCAGTGCAGGGGCAATTAGAGCGCAAAGGCGGCGGAGCCCTTCCTCCAGTGGCCTCTGGGCAGCACTCAGGGCCAGGCCCTGCAGACCAGGATGCCGCATGGAGGAGCCCAGCACTGGCAGGGCCTGGCAGCTGCAGCGTGACCTGTTTATATCTGGCGCCTGAATGGTGGGCAGGAACCATGAGGTGCCAGCTCAATGAACTCAGCCAATCCAGTTCACCAGCTCATTAGCTGATAGGGCGGTGCCAGCCTAACATGATCTCATCAGTCACTTAGAATTGACAATGATCCAATCAGTCAGGTACCAGCTAGTGTGGGGGCCGGAGAGAGGACAAGAGGCAGGGGAGAAGCCAACTAGGGAAGCCTAGAGAAAGCGTCTAGGCCCGCCGGAGACAGGCTGAAGGGCTTCTCAGTGACAGGCAGCCGCACCTGCCTCTGGTCCTGCTGCTGCCACTGCCTGAAAGACACGTCTATTGGGGTGGGAGCACAGGAAAGGGGCAAAAGGGCCAGGCAAGCCTGGTCGAAGGTGCAATATCAAAGTGCAACTCGAGATGATGGCCTCCATTGTCAGCTTCGCACATGTCCCTTCCAGTGTCTCCATGTCTTCCCTCACATGTCTCCCTCCCAGCAGCTCCGGGGTGCAAGCTGGCCACCAGAACAAGAGGAACCCTTTTCCCTTTCAGAGCCCACCTGCCTTCTAGAAGGTGTTATATATGTTCACCTGGCTGCTCAGCTCTGCTGCTCAGGAAGAGGGGCGGGGACCATGACATCTCCCCTTTAACGGAGAAGCCACTAAAACAGTGGTGGCAGTGGGGTGCTCTCTAGGCCAGCTTCCACGTCTAATATCTGCTACAAATTGCAGGTAGATACTGAGTTGGTGGAATAGAATCACAAACAGCGTCACGTAGGCCCCTAATTGGTTTATTCAGGACTACAGTATGTAAGCAGAAGCAAAGGAGACGCTCATAGCAGAGACATGTGTTGCCCATTCTCACTACATTGTCCCACGGTCCCTAGAGTGGCTTGTAGGATCATGGTTGCCACTAATGTAGTCCATACCAGAAGGAATCATGCCACACTGAGCCTTGATGCGAGAGGCTCAAGTTTTCCTCGTCTTCCTTTTACTTACAGAACTTAGACCAGCTTCCGGGAAGAGTATTGGTGCGAACCAATGCATATCAAATTGCCATGCTGAGCCCCACCCCCAGTATCTCAAATGTCTTTGGCAGTGGAGCCTTTATAAGGACTTGATTGTATTAAAATGAGCTTAGAACACACAGAAGGAACAGGGCTGCCAGTTTACTGAGAAAGACAAGCACAAAGGAAGAGGTCATCTGTAAACATGTAGCCTTCAATGAAGCTAACATTTTATGTCTCATACTTTTACTTTCTATAACTGAGGAAATTAACGTGTGTTGCTTAAATTATCCGTCTGTGGCACATTGTTATGGTAGCCCAGCAAGCCAATGAAGTATACGAAAAGCACCCTCGTTCCATTTAAGAAAATAATTTCGAAGCCCCAAGTTATTCAAAATCATCTCTGCCTCCACGTCAGCAAAATGTTAATTAGGAGGCGCCAATGCTCATCCCACCCACAAAAAACGACAGAAACTGAATAAACAAGCACATGCCAAGGAGGAGAGCTCAGGACAGACAAGAGTACAAATAAAGGATGCTAAGAGCACAATAAAGAAGCACAAGACAGGTTGAATGAGGAATGAAAGAAAACAAGACCAAAAAATGACCAAATTGAAGGGATGGCTGGTAGATCGAGGCTTTTGCATCAGGGTCAACGTCGGGTTGACGTGGAGGGCGAGTGCGGAAGACGCACGTGAGGGCACCACGGCGTGGAGGGGGGGGCAATGCGTGTGGGGGCGACGTGAGGGCAACGTGCATGTGACGTGGGACGGCGCCCGCTTGCCACACAGAAGCGATTTCCTGAGAGGCTGACTGTTGGCGCGCTCGGGGTCTCCACATCGCGTATCTGTAATCCACGACGAAACAGCCACGTAAGTCCACTTCTGACGGGTTAAGTAAAAAAGAAAAAGGGGCAAGGCCAGTTTATTGACTAAAAGGACTTCATGGTGAGCAAATGTGGCAGGAAAAAGTAGATTAAGAGTCATGTCAGTCTTGCGTGACTGGATTGGGTGTGGAGGGAGGCTCCCTTCAAGCATAGTTTTTTCTCACCGCCCCCCTGCCTCGACGTACAGTGCCTTGTTCAGACCCCGCAGTTCTTTGGGAAGCTCAAATCCAGATTGTTCAGGTAGCACCCACTGCAGAGACAGTCAAGGCTGCAGAGTCACGTGATGTGAACCCCTCACAGAAAAAAATCCCTCTGAGAAAAAAATACTAAACAATCTTTCCCTTCCTGTGCCCGGTGTTCCCCAGATTGCAAAGGAGCTCCCCTCCTGTGGTTGCCATGGCAGCACACACCAGCGTTTACCAGATCAGCTCAGCACAGTTTGCTGCCCTTGAGGAGGTGCCAACTTTCCAGATTGAAGCGGCAGCAGCCTCAGCCTTGCCACAGGGAATTCTGCTGGTCGCACAGGAAAGTTTGCAAAAAGCCCAGCAGCTGTCGGAAGAAGCAATCCGCAAGCGAGAGCTGAGGCTCAGGAAGAATAGGGAAGCGGCCCGGGAGTGTCGCAGGAAGAAGAAAGAATATATCAAATGTCTCGAGAATCGCGTGGCGGTGCTTGAAATACAAAACAAGACTCTCCAGGAGGAGCTAAAGTCTCTCAAAGATCGTTATTGCCATGAAACTGAGTGACTGGTTTTTACTGAAATCTTGTTCTGTGCCACTCTAGTCAAGGCAGGAGACAGCAGTTTTATTAATTGCCAAGTAAATTGTTAAGAAGTGGTTCTTGTGACCCTTTTCGAGTTGCATTTGATTTAGTGTTTGAACTTGAATCGGGAACGTTGTACCAAGGTTTAGAATGCAGCTTGGTCACCTTTACATGCTTACTTCAATCTGTCAGGAGCGTGTTTTGTCTTTTGTGTGTACTTAATTTTGTCCTGGGATACTGCTAAAGAATGTCTGAGTTGAAAGACGATATGTTGCAGGAATGAAAGCTCGAACAGGAATTTTATAGAGGAATGTGAAACTGAAAAATATTTGCTAAAACAGATTAGTAGAAATATTTAACTTTGAACAGATGATAACATGTTACCTTTGAAGCAATGCCATATATCACCAGCCAAAACTTCGGCTTTTCACACTTTGTATCATTCATTGTATCCTCTAATCTCTCACATTCCTGAAATGCTTCATTGAATGAGTTATTTCTTAGCTGTAACTTCTGATTTTTAAGCAATAAACTTAAAAATAAATGTATGTTGCAAAATCTTAAAATACAATATTTGCAAGACTTGTTCCAATGCTACTTATCCCCAGTGTCCAATCTCTGTGTCATGCATAGTGTCCACAGCAATAACATGTTTGCAGGTCTTTGAAAACCATAATAAAAACAAAAATGGCAATAGCAAGATAATAAGGTTTTACTTATCAGTAGGAATCTATTTACTTAACTCACCAATTATGAAGAATAAAATGGCCAAAGGATACATGAGAATGCTCTGGTGATACACTCTCTATACTTTAAAATTAAATACACACATTGTCTGAGAGTGAAGGGGTGGGGGAAAATGTTATGCAAATTCTATCAGTAACAATGCAGATGTGGCTGTACTTATACCAGACAAACTCTCAGTCTGTCTAGAGACAAAGAAGGTCATTGTAGAATGATAAAAGGGCCTGGTCAATTCAACCGGAAGATGTAACAACTAGTATACATCCAGTGTCAAGACACCTCACTATATAAAGCAAATACTGACAGATCTGAAGGCAGAAATTGACAGTAACAAATAGTAGTAAGGGTCTTCAATACTCTACTTACAATAATGGACAGGATATCCAGACAGAAAACCAATAAAGAAACAACTGACCTGAACAACACTGTAAACCAAGCAGACCTAGCGTACAACATTCTGTCTGCGTCAGGTTTCTCATTTTTCTCAAGTGGATACAAAAATTCTCCATAAGAGATCACATGTTAGGCCA